TTGGGTGGGCCGGTTATCTCCCGGGCACCTCCGATGGCCATCGGTGCGGCTGCGCACGGCAAAGGACCGAGGCACCGGCGTCACCAACCCGCCGTCGGTCGGTCACGCTGTAAAGTGCTGCAGAGTTCCCAGAACAGATCTGGCAGCTTCCTATTCAGTACCAGCCAGAAGGAGCCTTTACAGTCAGTGGCAGACAAAAAAACCAGAACAACTTTATCTGCTTGATTTTAAGGCAAAATTTTTTGCTGGAGTGTTGTCTCAAAATCTACCCCTTGGTTAAAATATTTCAGATTTTCCAAACGAAGGCAAGGCCTTGATCTCTCCAAGTATACGCGCATATGTTTAACTTCAGACACGTGAGCTGACCACCTGAAGTCAGCGAGGCTGTGCCCAAGTGTAATCGCTTGCAGGACACAGGCCAATGTGCCCAAGGTAACAGGGCCTTCACAACACTGTACTCAAACTGTTTTCCCGAAGTTCACTGAAGCTCTTAATAGTAAAATAAATTGTGTTATTTTAGTTACCCTCCTCTATGTTAAAGAATTCACAATTACAAGAAATGCATCATCATGGAAATGTTGCACCAACTGGATACTGCATTACTGGTCTGATTTTTTTATATCATCATACAAGGCCATTTCCATTTAAGACCATTGATGTTTCTAAGGAAGAGCTCTTGAACACTCGGCTTCAGGAGGAGCGCGTAATCTGAATAGCTCAACTTCCAGACAGAACGCTTTAGTGCTATTGCAAAATAATTCTGCAGTCATTTCCAGCTGGATCCAACACTGCCATTTCTGGAAGATAATGCAAACTGGGATTGAGATAATGGAAAAAAACCCCACTTTGTTTTCATGAACTCAAATTCCACAAAACAGCAACAAGCATCCAGAAGAAACATGCACATTTTTACTGCCCTCTTGAAGCCCAGTGATCATGTCCTGAATATAACATGAAAAAATAACTGCTTCAAGAGATTATGCAGTGCTTGGTACTGAAGAAGACAACTGTTTGGAAACTACGGGGCGTGTAATAAACTGCTGTTCACCTTGGCAAACGATGCTGTTAGACCAGAGAATGAGTACGACCTTCGCTGCTCCAGTTTGTGCTACCCAATATTCAATCTGTACTGACTTCCTTCTTTTAAAACACCACCAAAACTGCCATGCAGATGGCTGGCTAACTCCGTCCATTTGGCACCAGCAGATTATGGGTGCACACCAGGCTGTATGCAACGCTGTACTGGCACACAGTCCAATTACTCTCCCCTCCTGGCATCCCCACAGTGACAGACATGACCGGAGACTAAGAAAAGGACCTACTACAGGGACAAGCAAGCCCAGCTGGGGAAAGAGCTGGTCCGTGCGCCCAACGTTAACCACGTGTGAAAGCTCCTCGGACACTGCTGCAGGCTCCGTGTCAGGAGCTTGCAATACTGGATCTAAATACCTTCTCCCTATCTCACTGGCACTGATGAGTGTTTCAACTGTTTTGTATCTAGCTTTGCCTCTACATCCAATGTTTTGGGAAAAACCATGGCGTGTGTTCTAAAGCTTCCCACGTATAGCGCATATCTCAGTAACTCAGTTACACTATGAGGGGCTGCTGTACAAGTTTGGGTTTTTTGCCTGTCGGTGCACTCTCCAGGTTTTCCCTTCTTTGTTTGCCACTTTTTGCATTTTTCTCCTTTACTTTTCCCAGGAACGGAGCCCAGAGCTACAGGAGTAACTCCTGTGAGACAGCTGCCTCTCACGCTCACACACACGGATGTGGATCTGTTATGGTCTTCATCTGAAAGACAGCGCTGTTCAAAAACCTTCAGCAGAAGGAAATGCGACACCGGAACGGAGATGGGCGCACCAACACACAAGTACCCGTAGCACAGGTCTGGTCACAGCCACACACCTATACTAGCTCCTGTATAGCAATCTCCCTGCCACTATTGCTTGTGTCCTGAAAGAATTTATTTCTTGTGATGTGTACGGCACTGTCATTTATCAAACTCTTGAATGAAAACATGAAATGACTCTCACTTATTTCAAGTAGTAAAATCATTACAGTGGAACAATATCCTAGACAAAGGACTTATTGAATTTAATAAAGCCTCATTTCTTCTTGTATTTTAAAGTCCTAAACAGCATTACATTGTATTAATAGGCTGAAGAAGACAATATGTCATTCTCAAGAAAAAAAAAATGAAATCTATTTATGACATTCAGATCACTTAATTTCCTTTACTCCACAGCATGGCCACAGACAAATAAAACCAAAGCCGAGCCTATTAAAACAACTTGGTATCTCAAACTTGAAGAGCTTCCCCACAAACGTATGCATTACACGCATTACTGTTAGCTGACTGTGTTAGCAAGACCTGGGCCGTTTTTAATGGCTCGGCTCACAAAACAATTAATGATTGAAGTGAATACCTTTAGCACAGAGATGAAAACATTCAGCGCCCACACGCAATCTAATTACTTACAACTTTGTCTTATTTTACCTTATTTAATCTCACGCACTGCATCATGCTTGGAATAAGGGGCCAATCCTGCTAATAGACTGTTAGTAGAATAAACCTCTCTAATATCAATTCCTCAGGGATGCAGAGGGAAACCTTGGCAATAATGAAGTCAAAGTAAAAATTTACTTTTATTCCCCCCCCCCTTCTTTCTGTGAAGGCCCTAACACTGAACCACAATAGTGATACAAACCACAAATAAAACCAAAAGTATCCACAAGCTTCCATTCAAACTCTTGCCTGGATTAATGCTCCCATTCCAGTCATTTTCCATTCAAGTTCCTTCAGCTGGGCACACTGACACCCACAAGTGTTGGAGGCCTGGGTCTCTCTGTGGAATCTCCTCTTCTCCGCACAAGGTTTTTGGTAAACACCAGGGCAGGGGTGGAAGAAATGAGGAGATACTTCATAGAGGAAGGGCAGAGGTTTAGAGCTATCTGGGTGTTCCTCACTCATTTGCTGGTCGCTTTTTAAACAACACTTCTTCCATGCACAGGAGCAATGCATCCCCCTAGTCCCAGCAGTTAGCAAAGGAGGAAGGAGACCTGCATGGTTAAACAAGGAGCTTCTAGCGGAGATCAGGCAGAAGAGAAAGGTGCATGGCATGTGGAAAGAGGGACAGGCCACTTGGGAAGAGTACAGAAACGTAGTGAGAGCATGCAGGGATGCGACGAGGAAGGCCAAGGCTCACCTGGAATTGAAGCTGGCAAGGGATGTCAAAAACAACAAGAAGGGCTTCTTCAACTACATCAGCAGCAAAAGGAAGGCTAGGGACAACGTGGGGCCGCTGCTGAATGAGGAGGGTGTCCTGGTGACGGAGGATACAGAGAAGGCAGAGCTAATGAATGCCACCTTTGCTTCAGTCTTCAGTGCTAAGACTGGCCCTCAGGGTTGGACTAGATGACCCACAGAGGTCCCTTCCAACCCCTACTATTCTGTGATTCTGTGATTCTGTGATTTGGTGTTTTTGCCATTTTTCCATCCACTTCCAGTTACCACAAAGCAGCATGGTTTGAGTCCCAGCAGTCATGATGTCAACGCAGGGTAGAAATGTTCACCAAAGCATAATAACTTAATGTAATAACTTATATTAACATTTGGGTCAGAGGGTTATTTGAATGAATTGACACTAAAGTATGGAGCAGAACAAGAAAATAAATGCTATTAAGTGTTGTCCTTTGATCCCTTTGCAATGGAAGGTAAGTGCTACCCGCACCTAATTAATTGACTGTATTACTCACACTGCTTTAACTTAAACACTATGGTACATTTAGGCTGCATCAGATAGTAATTCTAATGAGGAGAAACAGTATTATCAAAGCAAGGTGGTGACTAGCCAAACTTTGTCTGTCAAGGTGTTGGATGAGGGGTACTTTTGTCTTCTGTCTGGCTTTTAAAATATCAAAAGAGTTCAGGCTGCAAGCCTACCAACCTGCAACTGCGACTACCAAATAAACCTGCTTCCCCTCGTGAAGTTACAGCTGGTTACAGGAGTGGGAGTTTAGTATAGGAGAACACCTTCTCAAGATGTTAGGATGGTGACCCATTTTTAAATTGGGTGAAGCTATTTAACTCGGGACAACTGGGGTTTCTCATTTCTCAAAAAACCCCAAAGTTTTCTTTGTATCACTATCAACTTTTTAGGTCTCCTCCCACAGTTCACTTTAATAAAATACTCTTCCAAAAGCGCTCAATATCTATGAGTATCTGTAAGTGCTTCCCAAAGATCAATGACGTATAACAAATAACAAAGACATGTAACATACTAAATACTTGACTCATTCAAGATTTTATCATTTAAACTCGTTCACAAACTGTTTTTCTTGCTGATATTAAAAAACTGATTTACGTCAGAATTAATTTTTCCACCACCTCCATTACTATGACTACAGATAAGCAGATTTTGGCTAAGCAAAGCCAGCCCTCAGGCACGCTCCTCCTGGCTGGAGGGTGCAGCACAAGCAGCCTGGCTGGAACAGGAAAGCCCCCCCAGGCAGCACCTCCCAACCCGCCGCCCTCCCGCCCCCCCGTCAAGCGAGC